AAGTCAGTGTTCGGGCCATCTACAGGCTTAAGCAAAGCTTTCGGGCAACCAACACCACGGATGATCGACCCCGAACTGGTAGACCAAGGGTTACCACAAGGCTACAAGACCGCCATGTTGTGCGATAGCACGTGCAGAATCCCTTCACACAGACATTTGATGCAGCACGTCAGACAGTAGGAAGACACATCAGTACCGATACAATGAGCCGATGTCTCACCAGAGAGAACAGCCATTGCCTTAGACCTTACCGCGGACCGATCCTCACCCCTCGCCATCGATGTGAACGTTTAAAGTTTGCCCAAAACCACCAGAACTGGCGACACAAGGCAATGGAGAACTGTTCTGTTCACAGATGAGAGTCCGTATTGCGTATCAACTGTAGATGGCAGGACCAGAATATGGCGTCGACGTGGCCAGTGTTATTCTGACAAATGTTTCATGGATCGAGAGTCACGGGGAGCTCCAACTATCTCGACTAACATTTCTATATAAAATTATTAATTGTTAATTGTACTTAAATCTGTTAAAGAAATCTCGAGCATTCGATGGTATCACGAGTTGATTATGATCTTGTCATGTTAATAAATATCTAATTAATAATTTATATAACATTTAAGGACAAAGTAAAGACATGTAATGGACAGATTCAGCTCTCACATAATGCTTCTTTAACTAATCACAGTAGTTCCAACATCAGCCCACCTGCGTCCGGGTTATACATTTTAGTTTTACAATTCTTTTTATTGCATAAAAATGAATTCTTGTCGAGTTGAGTAAGTTCGTAAAAAATCAAATCCTAAATCTTTATTTAAAATTACTGATGAGAATGAAATTAAGTAAGTAGGTAAAAATCGCAGAAATTAAAATGGCGGATCCATATAATTATGAAATATCATTACAAAACACACTGAATTGAATTGATAATTTCCTTTCTTTTTTTCATTACAGGCACTGCTCATGCGCCAGTGGAACTTCCTGTAGACCATCTGGATCTATGGAAACACATCGAAAGTCCTTAGTTACTTACGTTTTCACGTGTCAATAACAAATTGTGATAGATAACATTTCCAGCCAGCCTTTATTTATATTTTAATTTGAAAACAGCGAGTGAAAGAACAGATGCCGCCATCACTCCTGAAACAGTTTCCAGTCTACCTGAATAAATTAAATGGACATTATTTAAAGATTGTCGCTAACTGTAATAAATAAATTGATATTTTTGTGAAACTTTTTGGTCTTTTTATTTAATTTTTCAAATTGGGTTTCCGGTTTGACTCGATACCTGGTTTCAGCTTGACTTGACAACTGACTTGTTTTCCGGTTTCGCTGGGTACCCGGTTTCAGGTGGACTTGTTTCAGTTATTAAATGAGTGAGCTAAACCTGAACAATTTGACAGTAAAGTGGCTAACTTTTCATTTAGTGGCGGAATAAGACGCATGGGTTAACCAGACTGGGGTGTGCTGGGCAGAGAGCAGGACTTTATCCATATCCAGACAGTGTGTATCCCAGGCAGCATGTTTCCTGACAGTAGATATCCCAGACAGCGGGTATCCCAGGCGGGGGACGATCACTAGTCCGCGAGTTTACTAGTCCGCCACTATAAAAAATACTATAAATATGGGTATCAAAAAAACTCAGCAGGTATGGTGACTGATTGGTATCATGTCGCGATGTCGCCCTTCATAAGGCGACTATCCAACAACCCGACATCATGACATTTAACCCGACATCACGACTTTTTACCCCAATAATACGATTTTTCACCGGACACCACGACATTTAAAATGTTGTAATGTCGGGTTAAAATGTCGTGATGTCGGCCATCTTCCTCTCAATATATAGTATGATTATTTACAATGATCCTGATGTTGAGCAAGGATTTTGCAGCGTGAATTCTCACTGTCGATAGTGCAGAACGAACGTTATGCCAAAGGATAGTGTCTAGTTGTGTAGATGGGACAAAAACACAAACCCCTGTGTACACATTGACGTGCATATAAAAGAATCCTTCACAATTGGAATTCTATGAAGAAATGCCATTGTCCATAGGAAATGTCCGTCACAGCACTCTGCGTAGCGTATGCCTATCTTCAATAGTCCGATTGTCTGCACTACCGAAAGGGAGAAACCACGCTAAACAATTCCGGGGGGCTTTCGTGACCAACACCAGGATCAGTGTACATAATCAAACTGTATATTGAGAAGAAGATGACCGATAATCCGACATCACGACATTTTTTCGGGTTAAAATGTCGTATTGTCCTATTGAAATTTCGTGATGTCGGTTTGCCGTCTTATGAAGAGCGACACCACGACATCACTACATGATACCAATCAGCCACCATACCTGCTGGTTTTTTTATACCCATATTTATAGTATTTTTTATAGCGGCGGACTAGTAAACCCGCGGGCTAGTGCACCCGCGGATCCCTCTCACCCTAGACATCCCAGGCAGTAGGTATCCCAGACAGTAGGTATCCCAGGCAGCGGGTATCTCAGGCAGTAAGTATCCCAGACAGTAGGTATCCCAGGCAGTAGGTATCCCAGGCAGCGAGTATCTCAGGCAGTGGGTATCCCAGAAAGTAGGTATCACAAACAGCGGGTATCCCAGGTATTTCAGACGGTTGGTATCCCAGGCACTGAATGCTGGAAGGTTTAGTCGAGGACGCGGTTTAGCCAATTATTAAAAGGGCAAGACAATAGATTGAAACTCCTGCTTTTACACCCACATAATACCCGAGTTTGGGTATCGTAGAATCTGAATGTTGGGGAGGGGTAGTGGAGGAAGAGTTGTAGTGTTGTTATCTAGAATCTGGATGTTGGGAGGGGTAGTAGAGGACGAGTTGTAGTGTGGGTATCCTAGAATCTGAATGTTGGGAGGGGTAGTGGAGAACGAAATGAAATGAAATGAAATGGGGTATAACGTCCTACTGTTCTCTTCCGAACTGGGCTAATGAAGACGGGCATACGCCATACAGTGTGCTATGAGGGAAATTTGGCCTGGACAGCGGCACTATGGCCTACTCTTATATCGAATTCCAACTGCCAAGGGATCGTTTACGTGCACGCCAATATGTACACGGGACCTCGGTTTTTCGTCCCATCCGAACGACTAGACAGCTGTCCTTGTCAGGCCCTCCGCCCTGCATCACTGACAAGGGGAAATCACGCCGGAAAATCTGGATGAACTTTCTCGGCCAATGCAGGGATCGAACACCCGACCTCCAGGCTAGCGAGCCAGCGTCTTACCCACTTAGCCACGTGATTCCCAGTGGATAAAGAGGCTGGGTAAAGCTAGTTGGATTTAATAGGGGAAACGGGGCTTGATTCGTGAATGAGAATAACATGAAGCCACTGACACTGATCGGTATTCGGGTGAGTTTTTCTACAGTTGAATCTCTCATAGTATTATGAGTACAAACTGGTTTTATTCAGTTCATTATTTAAAAAGATATGATTCATCACGGAAGACGAAATACAGAATGATATGGTTAGCACAAACCAGTATCATCCATGCATTTCGTTGATAAGCCTATTTTTAATCTGAGTGAATCCAGCCCGGAGGATTAGTTAGCGTGGATATATATAGCCCGGCTAGAGCTGACTTGTCATAACACAGTTCCATTACACTTGATGTGTAACCAGTAAAGTGATGGGGGCGAGGAGAGTCTCGTGTGTGTGTTTGTGTCCGACAAATTGTTACCGGTGAGAATTTGGGTTATTAGCGAGGAATAATACGCCGCTGGATTCCATGTCTCATGTCGATTTATCGCTTCACCCGTTCTACTTGATGAAAGGGAGATAACTACAGTTTTAACCCCAATTCTTATCAGAAGGAGAGAGAAACTAATAATCTTATGGTTCAACTTTATTTCATTAATTCATTTGGGCTTAGGAATCGGAGAACCAAGTGAAAATCAACGAGTTTAGGCAGAAGCTACGCCAGTGACAGATCGTATGATTTACATCGACGTCTCACACACGGACGTACGACGTTTCGACCAGGATAGTTTTTAATATAATCTTAACCACATGCGGGATGTTTGAATCTAACATTGTCTAGCCACCAAATGTTAGCAACGATATACAGGATGGTGTGTTTAAATCTAATACCGCTCTATGGCGATGACGTTATATATTATCTTATCCTCTAGCACAATTACTTGGAAATCCGTTCCGTTATCGAAGTTCACTTCCATTACTTTGGGCAATTTTACGTAAAGGAAGTCAACATCTGTGTTACTATTTCTAGTAACCACAACACACGTTGTTTCGTTAACTCTTCTATTGTGCTTTCCAGAAATTGACATCCGATAACACGATATCACGCTTACACTTTTATAAGCAAAATATAACAGAATTAACATTTTTATCTCTATAACCGTGTGTCAGTATCATTAACAGTCCAAAGAAACATTCAAAGTCGATCCAAAGGCAAGTGAACCTTCACTGTAACCTGCATCTGACGATGTTCTGCTATGTAATTTTCGTGCTTTGCTTTAGGTGGTGACAGGAATAGGTCAATAATACAAACCTTTTGAAACAGACAGTGAAAGAGGTCGATGTTCAAAATGATAGCTAAATTTCCCTACACAATCTTGGCAGATTTACAAGGCTACATAGTACTTTGTCAAAGCACTTCGTGTCTGTAGGCCCGTTACAATAGGCCCTGTGCTAGTGACTGAAGGCCCAATCATAAGGTCCAATAATGAGTCAACGGTCGTACGTGACATGGAGTGGGGTCGCATGTCCATCCTCGTTGGTTTTCTCCGGGTCTTTCGGTTTCCTCCTACTGCTAAAGACCCCTACGCGCGAGCGAATTATTGAAATAAAATTGAACTATATGTTAGTCCCGAAATGACCTGGTTTGTGTCGAGTTGGACGTTAAACCCCTTTATCCCATCTACATACTGGGTCATTTCGGGAGTAGCATATGGTTCAATTTCATTTCCTGTATTTCGCTTGGACGCTTGGTTCTTTAACTCCATCACAATCAACAACTCTAAATTTATTTAAATTTACTTCAAAATACACAATTTAAATTCTATTCTACTTGAGACATGCTGTATTAGTTAATTAATATTTGTAATTTATCATACGTCAAAACAGCACCTAGAGAACAGCGATGAATTTTTTATTTGTATTTATTCAATAACAATATTTTTTTGTAAATCGGAATAATCAGTCCGTATTCATATTGAAACTGTATTATTTGGTGATTAAATGTTGATTTGACAATGAATAACGTTGATTACAATGAATAACGTTGATTACAATAACTATTTGTTTCTGTTTACAATACACACATAAAGAAAAATATTTAACGGTAATATAATTGATGATCAGCGTAATAATTCACGCCTGAAATAATTGTAAACATATAAGATTAGTCTGGTCAAATAATACCAAGCACCTGTGGCTAATGTGATAATAAATAATCGATCGTTTTCTACTTGATCCTTTGTATCTTGTCGTCTTGTTTGCCCCCTCAACATTTCCCGTATTCGGAGATCTTTTACATCCTTGAACTGATCATCTTCCATCAGACTTGGTTGTCCCTCCCTCTCCTTTACAGCCTGACGGTACATGTGTTGGGTGTAATATTGACCATTGTTGATCTGTACGGTTTGTTTGACCAAATTCATTACAGCTTTAAGTTCTGGTCCGGGAACTCGGTTGTTAATTGCTGCAATCCGTCCGCCTGCTTCCCGGATAAGTGCTTTTATTTCAGATGGACTGCCCTCAATATGCTGGCCAATCGTTGAACCATCATAATCCAGTGAATCTTTACCGGTGAAAATAAATACTGCGTACTTCATGAAATCCTGCCCAAACCAATATTTGAGATGTTTGATTATGTTCATCTCTTCCTGTGTAAATCTATCAATCTTCAGGACAAGCACGAACACGTGGGGACCTGGGTTTGAAAGCTCTATACATCGTGTAAGTTCTTCAAATGTTTCTGTGGTCGAAGTTGTAGTGTCAGCAATTCCTGGTGTATCAACAACAACTAGATTGGTTCCATCTCCAAGTTGGATCGACCCACGACGACATTCAGGTATCAATGTATTAGTGTTCTGTAGCGAGGTGGATTTAAACTCTTTTCTCCCAAGCAAATTATTTCCCAGCGAACTTTTGCCTGTGCCTGATTTTCCAATGAGCACCAGTCTTATATCTGAAAGATAGAAATAAACCCACAAAACTCTTAACATGATCTGAATATATGATAATGAAAGGAGAAAGGACGATAAATGGTCATTTCGAGACTAACATACGGTTCAATTTTATTTCAATAATTCACTTGTCAAGTAAAACTATTCGTATATCTGATGGATAAAAAATAATTAAATATTAATATCCACAAAGGAATCCTTAAGCTTGTTATTGTCCAATTTCCATGTCTTGTCTGACCAGTAGACAATATCACCACAGGGAGGGAAGGGAGCCCAGCCCCCCCCCCTCCCCAAACAATATCATTACAGGGGATTTTAATATTTCACAAAATGATAAACATACTGATATTCAATATTTACAGTTTTAAAAATGTCTTTCGTGCCTTTTCTTGGAATTTAAATTCAAAAGAAAGAAACTGTCTGATTTTATTACGATAAATCTTTTAATTTTTCTTCAAAAATACTTTTGATTTTAAACTCTTTATATTGTGGAAGCTAATTTTAAAGTAGCTAAGTCTCTAACTCAATATCATCCAAAATCTTCAACATTGAAAACACGATTTATTTGTCAAATTAAATCAACATTCATGTTGTGATCTTACCGGAAAAAGATGGGCTTTTGATATCCAATATTTAAGACAAAATAAACATTTTACCATTGGTACACGAATCGTGTACCATAATGCGCTTCAGCCCCAGTTGTATCAAGAGACTCGAGGGACGAGGCTAGACTCATTGCACCAAATCAAACGGCGTATGTAGTACGCTAGAACCAGACGCTAGAAATTTGCATTCGCTTGAGACTGCTGGCTTATTTCGCCGAACATAACTGATTTTAAATTGGAGTAAAAACGGAAACCATTGAATGTAAATCAGTTTATATACATTCACACTACAGTATTATATGCGTTGCGACCCTAAACTATATTTTTAAAGCAGGAATTAAACATAATAATATTTACAAAACCGCATCTATTAGTCCTACATTTCGTATTTATAATTAGGTGGTATTTACCAACTTCATTATAATTTCTTTTTATGAAAGGTTAAAATGCAGGCACCATAATCGAAGAACCCTAATTTAAAATGTTTTTAACATATGTATCAAAGACAGTTTTTTTCCAGTACCGAAATGATCTGTGGGACAAACTTATTTTTACTCCTGGATCTGCAATGGGTGTCTACGAAATATTAAATTTACCATTACACTTTAATAACATACTCCGGTAGTTAAAATCAAGTAACAATAATGACCTGCCCGAACCAGTAACGTCTTATGTAAACAATACACGCGCCACTGAGCCAATGATTGTTGCCGCGTGATGAGACGTCACGTGTTTAAGGTAGTCATCTTTTACAGAGATATTAGAAGACTTTCGTAATCCTCTGTGAAACAGATTGATCAATGAAGCTTCAATTCAACATAACTTTGTGAACAATGAATGAATTGAACCATTTTTGATAGATATTCCTTTCAGAGACCCATACTTCACAATATTAGACTTTGCAAGGTATTCCTTTTGCCTAAAACCAAGACTTTATTTTCCTATATTTATGAAAATCATAATTGTATTCAATGTTCTCAGTTAAATTCAACGAATTTGAGTGAATCTCATAATATTTGTTTATATTTAGGAGTGTAGGAAAATAAAACCATGCCATCTGCAAATTGGTTGATGAGCAGTAAAGTTATCTGATCAAAAATTAGTCCCGAAATGACTTAGTTTGTGTCAAGTGGACTATCGCTCTCTCTCTCTCTCTCTCTCTCTCTGTCTCTGTGATCAAAACTGGTCTTTGCAATCGTTCGTATACATGAGAAGCATATTAGGGCTACATTATTTTATATTTCGTTTCGGGATATATTATTTTGTATTTGCTTTACAGATCGCGAGATAACAAAACAACTAGTACTTTGAACGAAATCTAATCTTTTTTGTTCCTTGAATACATCAAAGTTCCAATTTAAAATCTAATCGAAGAGAGAGAGAGAGAGAGAGAGAGAGAGAGAGAGAGAGCGAAATGGGGTTTAACGTCCACTCGACACAAACTAGGTCATTTCGGGACTAACATATGGTTTAATTTCATTTCAATAATTCGCTTGCGCGTAGGGGTCTTTAGCAGTGGGAGGAAACCGGAGGACCCGGAGAAAACCCACGAGGTTGGACAGGCGATCCTACTCCTTGTCACGTACAACCGGGGATTCGATACCATGCCAGTTGACTCAACGACAGGTCTTATGATACAGCACGCACGTGCTAACCCCCCCCCCCCAATCGAAGTCTTGTGACATATACCTATAGCAATTCCTCATACGAATACACCAAAGACGATATTTATAAAATAAATAAATCAAACTTCTAACCTGTGTTATGAAAATCCATGTTGTATTCGTGTTAGCGTGTACAATCATATAATTCTGTCTATCGTTTAGCCTGGTAAACAATCTAAATGACGTGGTAGTACACCGTGACACACTATCAACATCTCAGTATTATATGGAAGCCTATTGCGGCCATTTCAGAATCTCGTCTTCTCGCCGCAAGATCACGAGAAGACGATAAGTCGAGGGCGAGAAGACGAGAAGACGAGAAGTCGAGGGCGAGAACACGAGAAGACGAGAACACGAGGAAATAGGGCGAGAATACGAGGATCTCGCCCCGAGAACACGAGATTACTTACACCTCGACTTCTCGCTCCCTCGTCCCTCGACTTCTCGCTCCCTCGTGTTCTCGCCTTTGAAAAACCTCGTGTTCTCGTCTTCTCGTCTTCTCGCCTTTGGGTTAATCTCGTCCTCTCGTCTTCTCGCTCCCTCGCTTCGTCACAATCTCGACTTCTCGTCTTCTCGTCTTCTCGCCTCGGAAGTGCAGTTTATACGCATGTCCACTGACCACCGTATCGGCATTTATATTTGGACATGGATTATAATAAACGGAAATGTTTGAAATTTAATTGTCCTAAACAATTTTAATCTCTTCTTGCACAGATAGTATTGTATTCTGTAATCGATTTTAAGTCTTCAGTCGAATCTATCTTTTCTCTCTATCTTCAATTACCTTCATCGGGTTTTTTGATGCGTGGACTTGTCAGTGCTGTAGGATGTAGAGCCTGACAAGGGACAACGTATAGTCGTTCGAATGGGATTAAAAGAACGAGGTCCCGTGCCCGGAATCGAAATGAAGTTGGCTCTACGGTGGCCCAGTGAGTAGGACGTTTGCTTTCTAACTTCATCAAAGTTCATCGTGATTTTTCTGGCGATGTCCACCCTTCTCAGTGGTGTAGGACGGAGAGCCTGGCAAGAGACAACATATAATCTTTCGGATGGAATAAAAATAACCGAGTTTCCATGTCCGGAAACTAAATGAAGTAGGAGCTACGGTGGGTCAGTGAGTGGGACGTTTGCTCTCTTACTTCAGTGGCGTAGGAGGAAAGCCCTCGCGAGGGACCACGTATAGTCGTTCGGATGGTATAAAAAATGAAGTGGGAGTTAGGGTGGCTCAGTGAGTAGGACGTTTGCTCTCTAACATCATTAAAGTTCGGAGCCACGGTGGTTAAGTGGGTAAGACGCTGGCTTACTAAACTGGAGATCACGTGTTCGATCCCTGCATTGGCCGAGAAAGTTCATCGGGGTTTTCCGACGTGGTTTCCCCTTGTCAGTGGTACAGGGCGGAAGGCTTAGCAAGGACAGCTGTCTAGTTGTTCGGATGGGACGAAAAACCGAGGCTATCAATTGGCGTGCACGTAATTGGCAGTTTGAATTCGATATAAGCAGAGGCCTTGGTGCCGCTGCCCGGGCACAATTTTCCGGAATCTAAATGAAGTGGGGGCTACGGTGGCTCAGTGAGTAGGACGTTTACTGTCTAACTTCATCAAAGTGCATCGGGATTTTTCTCCTCCCTTGTCAGTTGTGTAGGATGGAGGACGGGGGCGGGGGGGGGGGGCTGGCAACGGATAACGTGTAGTCGTTCAGATGGGACAAAATAACCGGTGTCCTGTGTACACTTTGGCGTCTGTCATTGAGTCAAGTGGCTCGGTTTCGATTCGCCGCTTGAACGTGACAATGATTAGGATCGTCTGTCCAATCGTGTGGATTTTTCTCCGGGTTCTCCGGATTTCCCCCACTGCTAAAGACCCCTAAACGCAAGCAAATTATTGAAATAAAATTGTTAGTATCGGAATGACCTGGTTTGTGCCTCTCTTTCACACTCATTGGTGTCCAGGTACAAGAGCCCTTTACCGTTGGAATTCGAAATAAGAGTAGGCCCTCGTAGCACACTGCATGACGTATATTCGCATTCATTAGCTCAGTTGGAGAAGAACAGTATGGGTTTTGGTAGCCGAATGGTTAACGCATTCGCATTTGATCATAAGGACTGTCATTGAATCGGGGTGTTCTCACTTTCCCAGCAGCTATTGTTTTCCAGGTAAAATCATTGGACCAGTACTAATTAGGGTAACAATGGTGTTAAAACTATAGTCTTTTTCATATCAATATTAACCACTTTACATAAAAGTTATTTTATTAACAAATTTAGCATGTACATATATATTTTTCATATCAATATTAAATACAAGTTATTTTATTAACAAATTTAGTATTGTACATGTATATTTAAAATCCGACTTAATTTAATTATTCAAAACAAGATATAATTCCTCAAAAATGCTTTTACATGATAGTTTAAGATATAATAAAAAGACCTGAAAATACTGGAAATTGGAGATTACTGTCAGTAAGTAAAGCTAACAACTGCCTTAAAAAAAACCTGTCAACCACAAATCCATATTTTAAAAATATTTGATCAAGAGCAGGTTTGCTATTACAATATGGAGGTTTAGAGATTGAAAATATTCTTTGGCTGTCAAGCAGTTTGGTGGTATATTTCAACAAAAACAAAGCTCTTTACATAATTCTTCATTAATAATAATGAACATTTGTACATGGAAAAATGAAGACTTTAAAGAAAACGAAAAAGAATATGTTACCCTTATTAACAAGGGAAAT